GGCTCACAGAATATTGCATCCATACGATTGGCTCACAGAATATTACATCCATACGATTGGCTCACAGAATATTGCATCCATACGATTGGCTCACAGAATATTGCATCCATACGATTGGCTCACAGAATATTGCATCCATACGATTGGCTCACAGAATATTGCATCCATACGATTGGCTCACAGAATATTACATCCATACGATTGGCTCACAGAATATTGCATCCATACGATTGGCTCACAGAATATTGCATCCATACGATTGGCTCACAGAATATTGCATCCATACGATTGGCTCACAGAATATTACATCCATACGATTGGCTCACAGAATATTGCATCCATACGATTGGCTCACAGAATATTGCACATCCATACGATTGGCTCACAGAATATTGCATCCATACGATTGGCTCACAGAATATTGCATCCATTGGCTCACAGAATATTGCATCCATACGATTGGCTCACAGAATATTGCATCCATACGATTGGCTCACAGAATATTGCATCCATACGATTGGCTCACAGAATATTGCATCCATACGATTGGCTCACAGAATATTGCATCCATACGATTGGCTCACAGAATATTGCATCCATACGATTGGCTCACAGAATATTGCATCCATACGATTGGCTCACAGAATATTGCATCCATACGATTGGCTCACAGAATATTGCATCCATACGATTGGCTCACAGAATATTGCATCCATACATTGGCTCACAGAATATTACATCCATACGATTGGCTCACAGAATATTGCATCCATACGATTGGCTCACAGAATATTGCATCCATACGATTGGCTCACAGAATATTGCATCCATACGATTGGCTCACAGAATATTGCATCCATACGATTGGCTCACAGAATATTGCATCCATAATATTGCATCCATACGATTGGCTCACAGAATATTGCATCCATACGATTGGCTCACAGAATATTGCATCCATACGATTGGCTCACAGAATATTGCATCCATACGATTGGCTCACAGAATATTACATCCATACGATTGGCTCACAGAATATTGCATCCATACGATTGGCTCACAGAATATTGCATCCATACGATTGGCTCACAGAATATTGCATCCATACGATTGGCTCACAGAATATTGCATCCATACGATTGGCTCACAGAATATTACATCCATACGATTGGCTCACAGAATATTGCATCCATACGATTGGCTCACAGAATATTGCATCCATACGATTGGCTCACAGAATATTACATCCATACGATTGGCTCACAGAATATTGCATCCATACGATTGGCTCACAGAATATTACATCCATACGATTGGCTCACAGAATATTGCATCCATACGATTGGCTCACAGAATATTGCATCCATACGATTGGCTCACAGAATATTGCATCCATACGATTGGCTCACAGAATATTGCATCCATACGATTGGCTCACAGAATATGAAATAACAGGCACCAGCTCCATTCTGTTTGTTCTCCGCTGACGTCTGCTTTACACTGAGTCCTAACATTAAATGTAAAAAGCTCTGTCTCCTCTGGTCTTCACCTGGTCCTATAACATAAAAAGCTCTGTCTCTTCTGGTCTTCACCTGGTCCTATAACATAAAAAGCTCTGTCTCTTCTGGTCTTCACCTGGTCCTATAACATAAAAAGCTCTGTCTCCTCTGGTCTTCACCTGGTCCTATAACATAAAAAGCTCTGTCTCTTCTGGTCTTCACCTGGTCCTATAACATAAAAAGCTTTGGTTAACTGGTCCCAGGACACGAGTGAGTTGGTCCCAGGACACGAGTGAGGTGGTCCCAGGACAGGAGTGAGGTGGTCCCAGGACAGGAGTGAGGTGGTCTCAGGACAGGAGTGAGGTGGTCTCAGGACAGGAGTGAGGTGGTCCCAGGACAGGAGTGAGCTGGTCCCAGGACAGGAGTGAGGTGGTCTCAGAACAGGAGTGAGGTGGTCTCAGGACAGGAGTGAGGTGGTCCCAGGACAGGAGTGAGTTGGTCCCAGGACAGGAGTGAGGTGGTCCCAGGACAGGAGTGATGTGGTGCCAGGACAGGAGTGAGGTGGTCTCAGAACAGGAGTGATGTGGTCCCAGGACAGGAGTGAGGTGGTCCCAGGACAGGAGTGATGTGGTGCCAGGACAGGAGTGAGGTGGTCTCAGGACAGGAGTGAGGTGGTCCCAGGACAGGAGTGAGGTGGTCTCAGGACAGGAGTGAGGTGGTCCCAGGACAGGAGTGATGTGGTGCCAGGACAGGAGTGAGGTGGTCTCAGGACAGGAGTGAGGTGGTCTCAGGACAGGAGTGAGGTGGTCTCAGAACAGGAGTGATGTGGTCCCAGGACAGGAGTGAGCTGGTCCCAGGACAGGAGTGAGCTGGTCCCAGGACAGGAGTGATGTGGTGCCAGGACAGGAGTGAGGTGGTCTCAGAACACGAGTGAGCTGGTCCCAGGACAGGAGTGAGGTGGTCTCAGAACAGGAGTGATGTGGTCCCAGGACAGGAGTGAGGTGGTCTCAGAACACGAGTGAGCTGGTCCCAGGACAGGAGTGAGGTGGTCTCAGAACAGGAGTGATGTGGTCCCAGGACAGGAGTGAGCTGGTCCCAGGACAGGAGTGAGGTGGTCCCAGGACAGGAGTGAGGTGGTCCCAGGACAGGAGTGAGGTGGTCCCAGGACAGGAGTGAGGTGGTCTCAGAACAGGAGTGATGTGGTCCCAGGACAGGAGTGAGCTGGTCCCAGGACAGGAGTGAGCTGGTCCCAGGACAGGAGTGAGGTGGTCCCAGGACAGGAGTGATGTGGTGCCAGGACAGGAGTGAGGTGGTCTCAGGACAGGAGTGAGGTGGTCTCAGGACAGGAGTGAGGTGGTCTCAGAACAGGAGTGATGTGGTCCCAGGACAGGAGTGAGCTGGTCCCAGGACAGGAGTGAGCTGGTCCCAGGACAGGAGTGAGGTGGTCCCAGGACAGGAGTGATGTGGTGCCAGGACAGGAGTGAGGTGGTCTCAGAACACGAGTGAGCTGGTCCCAGGACAGGAGTGAGGTGGTCTCAGAACAGGAGTGATGTGGTCCCAGGACAGGAGTGAGCTGGTCCCAGGACAGGAGTGAGGTGGTCCCAGGACAGGAGTGAGGTGGTCCCAGGACAGGAGTGAGGTGGTCCCAGGACAGGAGTGAGGTGGTCCCAGAACAGGAGTGAGGTGGTCCCAGGACAGGAGTGAGGTGGTCCCAGGACAGGAGTGAGGTGGTCCCAGGACAGGAGTGAGGTGGTCCCAGAACAGGAGTGAGGTGGTCCCAGGACAGGAGTGAGGTGGTCCCAGGACAGGAGTGAGGTGGTCCCAGGACAGGAGTGAGGTGGTCCCAGGACAGGAGTGAGGTGGTCCATGTAAGCGGCTGAGCTGGGAAGGACACATCATTGTAGCACTCAAGGTTTGTCAATACCCCAGAAAGGAAGACAACAGGTACCATAGTCACCATACCATAGTCTCCATACCATTGTCTCCATACCATAGTCTCCATACCATTGTCTCCATACCATAGTCTCCTTACCATAGTCTCCATACCATAGTCTCCATACCATAGTCTCCTTACCATAGTCACCATACCATAGTCACCATACCATAGTCACCATACCATAGTCTCCATACCATAGTCTCCATACCATAGTCTCCATACCATAGTCTCCATACCATAGTCTCCATACCATAGTCTCCATACCATAGTCTCCATACCATAGTCTCCATACCATACCATAGTCACCATACCATAGTCTCCTTACCATAGTCACCATACCATAGTCTCCATACCATAGTCTCCATACCATAGTCTCCATACCATACCATAGTCACCATACCATAGTCTCCTTACCATAGTCACCATACCATAGTCTCCATACCATAGTCTCCATACCATAGTCTCCATACCATAGTCTCCATACCATAGTCTCCATACCATACCATAGTCTCCATACCATAGTCTCCTTACCATAGTCTCCATACCATAGTCTCCATACCATAGTCTCCATACCATAGTCTCCTTACCATAGTCACCATACCATTGTCTCCATACCATAGTCTCCTTACCATAGTCACCATACCATAGTCTCCTTACCATAGTCACCATACCATAGTCACCATACCATAGTCTCCATACCATAGTCACCATACCATAGTCACCATACCATTGTCTCCATACCATAGTCTCCATACCATAGTCACCATACCATAGTCTCCATACCATAGTCTCCATACCATAGTCACCATACCATAGTCTCCATACCATAGTCTCCATACCATAGTCTCCATACCATAGTCTCCATACCATAGTCTCCATACCATAGTCACCATACCATAGTCTCCATACCATAGTCTCCATACCACGGGTGGCACGGTGGCTGAGTGGATAGCACTCTCGCCTCTCTGCAAGAAGGTCCTGGGTTCGAATCCTGGTCGGACCAGGGCCTTTCTGAGTGGAGTTTGCATGTTCTCCCCGTGTCTGCGTAGGTTTCCTCCGGGTACTCCGGTTTCCCCTACCACTAAAAATATGTCCAATAGTTCTGGCATGCGCTTCCTAGTAGTTCCATAGTCACCATACCATTGTCTCCATACCATAGTCTCCTTACCATAGTCACCATACCATAGTCACCATACCATAGTCTCCATACCATAGTCTCCATACCATAGTCTCCTTACCATAGTCTCCTTACCATAGTCACCATACCATAGTCACCATACCATAGTCACCATACCATAGTCTCCATACCATAGTCTCCATACCATAGTCTCCATACCATAGTCTCCATACCATAGTCTCCATACCATAGTCTCCTTACCATAGTCACCATACCATAGCCACCATACCATAGTCACCATACCATAGTCTCCATACCATAGTCTACATACATAGTCTCCATACCATAGTCTCCATACCATAGTCACCATACCATAGTCTCCATACCATAGTCACCATACCATAGTCTCCATACCATAGTCTCCATACCATAGTCACCATACCATAGTCACCATACCATAGTCACCATACCATAGTCTCCATACCATAGTCTCCATACCATAGTCTCCATACCATAGTCTCCATACCATAGTCTCCATACCATAGTCACCATACCATAGTCTCCATACCATAGTCACCATACCATAGTCTCCATACCATAGTCTCCATACCATAGTCACCATACCATAGTCACCATACCATAGTCTCCATACCATAGTCACCATACCATAGTCACCATACCATAGTCACCATACCATAGTCTCCATACCATAGTCTCCATACCATAGTCACCATACCATAGTCTCCATACCATAGTCTCCATACCATAGTCACCATACCATAGTCACCATACCATAGTCTCCATACCATAGTCTCCATACCATAGTCTCCATACCATAGTCTCCATACCATAGTCTCAATACCATAGTCTCAATACCATAGAGTTCAGTGAGTGAACGCTGGCGCGCTTTGGCAGCCGCTGCTCACAGAACAAACACGGACTAAAACATTGTTTACGCAATATTGGATGTCGTGGTTACGTTGTGTTTTAAGGATTGTTTACCTGCTTTCGATATCAACCACAGTTTGCTGTTGTCATAAGCATTTTGGACATATTCATACCTGGGACCCCTGGCTGTCGTATTCCCCTCCTGGGAAACGATGTGTGTCTGCCATATAACGCGCTGGCTTGTTGTCATCTGGCTCATCGTGTCCCTGGTCCATCTGCAAACCAATGCTCTCCTCCAGTACTCCGCTGCTGAACTTTTAAAACTTCGGCACCACGTCCCCGCTCCTCTTCAGCCACCGGAGCGCGGACATGACATCCCCCCGGGCATCGCCTTCCAGCCCCGGCGGCGGTACGTTCACCGTGGATCACGCCGTAAGCTCCAATACAAGGACTCCCATTCAATAAAGTCCCTCTGGTCCACCACTCGCCGCTGCTCCCGCACCGCTGGTCGGGACGCTGACAGTGTCCTGGTCAGCGTGGCCCGATCGGCTCAGCCCGCGGCAGCCAAGAACAGCTCCACCACCGTCAGCTTCGGTCTCCTCAACGTGCGCTCCCTCAACACCAAGGGCCATCTGGTCCGGGATGTCCTCGTCGACCGTAAGCTGGACTTCTTGTGTTTGACCGAAACCTGGCAGCAGCCAAATGACTTTGCCGCGTTGAACGACTCCACTCCACCGGGGTTTGTTTACATCTGCCAGCCCCGCAGCTGTGGCCGCCGGGGCGGAGGTCTCGCGATGCTTCACCGCGAGACTTGGAAAGTCACACCTGTGCCTGCTGCCCCTGTCTTCTCCTCCTTCGAGTACTCTGCCTCACTGCTGCCTGGACCTTCTCCTACTGTTGTTGCCACCATCTACCGCCCGCCAAAACTTAATAAGGACTTTTTAGATGACTTTTCTCACCTTCTAACACACTTCTCATCTATCTCTCATAACGCAGTCATACTTGGGGACTTCAACATTCACATGGACAATAATAGCAACCCTCTCACCAAAGACTTCTCCTCCTGTTTAGATAGTTTTGGTTTACAACAACACATTCATTTCCCCACCCACACTAAAGGTCACATTTTGGATTTAATCTGCTGCTCTGGTCTCACTCCCACTGACTGTAAACCTCACACACTCCCATACACAGACCATAAGCTCATCACCTTCAACATCAACCTCACCCTCTCCAAGACCATCCTTCCCCGAACCATTTCTTTCCGTAAAATTCAGGACATAAACACTGCCACCTTCGCCTCAGATATCAATAACCTCCCCACTACTGATCCCAATGACTCCCCCGATGACCTGGTCTCCCACTACAACACTTCTCTCCATAACCTCCTGAACAATCATGCTCCTCTCAAAACCCGACCCGTCTCTTTCACGCTCTCAGCACCCTGGTTCACCCCTGCCCTCCGTCAGCTCAAATCCCAAGGACGTCAACTTGAACGGCTCTTCAATAAAACTGGACTCACCATTCACAAACAAATGTACAATAACCACATCATGCTATACAAGGACCATCTCTCTGCTGCCAAATCCACCTACTACTCCGGTTTAATCCACTCCAATCATCAAAACTCCAAAACTCTCTTCTCTCTTCTCACCAATATAACCAAACCCCCTGACTCCCTCCCTCACCATATGCAATCCACTGACTTCTGTAACTCACTCATGTCCTTCTTCACCTCCAAGATCTCTGACATTCACCAACACCTGACCCCACATGGAGCTGCAGTCTCTGGAGTGGACCCCCCAGCCCCCTACTCATCCCTCATAGCCACATTCTCCAGCTTCATCTTGCCCTCCGTCCAAGCCATCTCCGACTTTATCATTAAATCCAAACCTTCTACCTCTCAGCTCGACCCTCTCCCTACCGTTCTGGTCAAATCCTGCCTCCCCTCAGCTGCCCCCCTCATCACTAATATCATTCATTCATCTCTCACTTCTGGTACTGTCCCTCTCTCATTCAAAACCGCCTCAGTCTCACCCATTCTCAAAAAACCTGGCCTGGATCCAACCAACTTCAACAACCTCCGTCCCATCTCAAACCTTCCCTTCATCTCCAAAATACTTGAAAAATCTGTCGCTGCTCAACTCCACAACCACCTCACCACCAACAACATCTACGAACAATTTCAGTCTGGTTTCCGTCCCCTCCACAGCACCGAAACAGCTCTTCTAAAAATCACTAACGATCTCCTCATAGCCTCTGACTCCGGTTTACTCTCCATCCTCATCCTTCTGGACCTCACTGCAGCTTTTGACACCATTTCTCACTCCACCCTCCTGAACAGACTCTCCTCCATCGGCATCACCCACACCCCCCTCGCCTGGTTCACCTCCTATCTTTCTGGTCGCTCACAGTTCATTCATCTCAAATCCCACAAATCCCGCACTTTTCCTGTCTCTGCTGGTGTGCCCCAGGGCTCTGTCCTGGGGCCCCTCCTCTTCATCATCTATATTCTCCCACTCGGTCACATCCTCCGCCGTCACAACATTCACTTCCACTGCTACGCGGATGACACCCAGCTCTACCTCTCCACTAAACCATCTTCCTCTCTCCCTCCATCCTCCCTCACCCTCTGTCTACAAGAAATTCATTCCTGGTTCTCTTCCAACTTTCTCAAACTCAATAGCTCAAAAACTGAAGTCCTTCTCATAGGCACCCCCTCCACTCTCTCCAAATCTACCAGCTTCTCAATCTCCATCCATAACACATCTGTCCTCCCCTCCCCTCAAGTCAAGAGTCTGGGTGTCATCCTCGACAGTTCACTCTCCTTCCAATCCCACATCAATAACATCACTCGGTCTGCCTACTTCCACCTGCGCAATATCTCTCGTCTCCGCCCCTCTCTCACCCCCCACACCACCGCCATCCTCGTCCACAGCCTCGTCACCTCAAGGATTGACTACTGCAACTCACTTCTCTTCGGCCTCCCCAACAAATCCCTCCAGAAACTGCAGCTCCTCCAAAACTCTGCAGCTCGTATCATCACCCGGACCCCCACAGCTCACCACATCACCCCCGTACTACAACAACTCCACTGGCTTCCTGTCAAACAGCGCATCAATTTCAAAATACTCCT